ACAGAATATGCTTATTTGATATTCTCAGTGCTGTTATTCTAGGTCACCGCTGATCGTGATTATAAGAATTTTTATCCTGCAGTTTCTCATGATAGCTTGAAATTGCTGTGGAGTCGAAGTACCATTAACGCACAACAGCTGGATTTGTATATGGCATTAATTGACAGAATTTGAAGTTTGTTATGAAGTGGGATATTTTATCAACTTTTTTTTGATAAATTATTAAATTAATTCATTATGTTTCATCTTCTGTCAATGAATCCTATCGTTTATAATCATTTGGTTGGCAGCGAATTGATCTTCAAAGTTTTATGAAGTTGCAGATAAATTTTAAAAACTGTTTGTAGATTTTGCTTTTTTTGCTTAGGATAATAATGACAATACAAAATAATGACAATACAACAGCAGCATATCTTCATTACAGGAAATAAAGATATAGGCTATTCAAAATAAGGTGAGGGGAATGAGATTTTCCCAATTTGCAAGTATCACAAGAGATGTTGTTCAGCATTTCATACTGAAATGTTGATTAGCATATTTATTATTAAACTTATCATCTTGACAGTATTCATGAAAGCATCGTTATGCTTTTATAAATCGGACTAACAGAAAGTTAAAAGAATTCAAGCATAATTATCACGATAATGAAATTATCACTTCAGCCATTACAATATTTTTATCTCATTGAACAATGATTATCAAGGAAATTTTGCCTTTGACTTCTAACTAATAATTGTATCGAATTTTGAATAACAGCTGAGGAACTGTAACTTAAATCCAATAGTGATTAGTGAAATTATCATTATATCGTATTATCGTTGAACCGATTTGAAAACTTTTAAACTTCATTTAAGCAAAAAGGATTTAATCTCGTTTGAAGAAATAACGAACATGTTGCCGTCGTATTTAACAAGTTTTTCGAGTTTCGCTCTTTATTTCAACAAAGGGCAATAAAAGTTGAAAAAAATAGTAAAGGATAACGTGTTTTGTAAAGATAATTGTCTGTACTTTAAGTGACATGACAAATTTTAATCCAAATTAAACTGTTTCAAAGTTGAAAATTTACACTTAAATTCCAAAAATTATATGTAAACCTAACAACAAGCAATAAATAGGTTTAAAAAAAAGGTTATTTTGTCCATGAATTTTATTTGGAATATTTAAAATTAGCTTGACGCTTGAAAATTGGAATACATGATGACATGATGATCGATTAAGAGAAATGGAAAAAAAGAAAAAAAAACAAAAACAATTTGTGAAGAAAAGAGATAAATAATATTTTAAACTTAACAATTTTGTCGATATTTTAAAAAGGAAAAATTGCTGATAGCATTGAAATAAAGAAATTTTGATTCTGATGAGATCCCTTGACAGATCGAAAATATCTTGATGTTTCCTTTGAATTTATGGGATATAATTTGAGGGATTTCAGTGAAAATAAGTTAACAACAAAGAATTGGCTTGCTTCTTTCCGCTCATTCTGAATATTTTTTTCATCTCTGCCCGATTTGTTAACCAACGGGTGCAGATGGTGGAGGTGACTTATATATAGGTGGCGGTGATTGAGGTGGTTGTTGTACCGGTAGTTGTGGTGGTACTACATATGAAGATGATGGAGGTGGCTGTGGTGGTGGTACATATGAAGGTGGTGGAGGTGGCTGAAGCATCGATGGCTGTGGTGGTGCTACATATGAAGGTGGTGGAGGTGGCTGATATATAGGCGGTGGTGGAGGTGGCTGATATATAGGCGGTGGTGGTGGTGATACATACGCAGGTGGTGGAGTTTGTATATACGATGGTTTTGGAGCTGGGACGCTAAAATGAGTAAAAATTATAATTAACACAATTTTGAAAAAGTGAAATTTAGCTTGTTGCAAAAAATTAAAGTAAATTTAACCTTTTAACTCTGTTCCAACGTATTATAATAATGATTAATTTGTTATTAATAATACGATTAACTTATATAATACGGAAAGAAAATGAATGGAAATTACTCAAATCAGTAATCGAATTGTGGATTTTTTGGTTTCGAACAATATTTTGGATTTGGTAGATTTTAAAATTTAAATTTATCAAATATTTAAATTAAAATGAAGCAGTAGTCAAGCCGATCGTATTAAACGATATATGTTAGCATTTGATGAAACTTTGAAACTTCAATAATTGTATATTTACGTTTGACTACATCCGCATCCACCACAGCATGAAGTACCAGAAGGTAATCGTGAAAGATCTAGGGGTGAAAACGGAGTGGCTGGGAATGACGGTGGTAGTGGTGGTGGCAGTGGTGGTAGTGGTGGGCATGGGCAACAACATGGTGGAATAGCTGGCTGTTGTGGTGGTGGTGATGGTGGTGGTGGTGGTGGTGTAGGCGGTGG